ATGCCTAATGTTATTTTCGGGTGCATCATGCGGGTGCTATACTATTTTCATTATCTTTTTGCCAATTCTTAGCTTATTTTGCCAAAACGGTATGGGGCATTTACAGGACCCAAATGATAGCCAAAACCTTACATGAACAATTTACAATTAAAAAAAGACACTCAAATAGATATATTTCTCGACACACCAAACAAAGCTAATTATTTTTATGCCAATTCTAAGCTTAATTATAACCCGTAAAGGGTCAAAATTCTCCCCAAAACATTACCCGCGATGAATTTTCATGGTTAAAAAATAATGACACGCGATAATCGAGATATTTGTTAACACACAAAATGGGACATTTACGTTATATTTTTTTTGCCATTCTTTAGCTTAATTTGAATCTATAAAGGATTTAAATAACCCTCAAAACATTACACGATCAATTTTCATGGATAAAATATAAAGACAAGCTAAAAACACAACAAGGATTTACATTATTTTTCAGCCATTTTTTAGATTAATTTGATTCCTAAAGAATCAAAATGACCCCACAAAACTTTACTAGATCAATTTTTGTCACAAAAATCGAAAAAAATGTTATTTTTATTAATTAAAATAAATGATTAGAATTAACCAATCATATCATGACATGTGTCATGATTTAATCCTAATAATTAACGGAGTTAACGGCCGTTTTTCATCAATGATATTTGGTGAATTTTTTAAAAGATTGGTGACATTTGGTAAATTTGTTAAAATTTCATGACATTTGGTGAATTTTTGAAAACTCAGAGTTATTTGGTGAAATCACCGTTATTTTTTTTTGGTTAGACTCAATAGAAACGATTTTTATTTTTTAAGAGTTAAAGTTTAATTTTTAATATTCATTATTACAATTTATCAAAATCGTTTTTTTTTTTATTTTCATAATTAATTACAAAAATATTTTTTTTATTATGGCGATGATTTAACAACATAACAAAAATTGTTAACTACAGGATAACATCAAGGTCACTGTATGGTTACTAATTATACTCGAGGGTTACAATGTGTATTTTTTTTAAAGAGGGGGCACAATGTCGAAAATGCAAAAGTAGAGGGTTAGAATGTAGAATTTTCCTATTTATATTTAATAAACTAAATCCCAAATTTCTTTTTTTTTTATTACTATATTTTATTCATGATTTTCATAAAAATTACAAAAGGTAAAAGATACAAAGTAAAAAAATATTTTTTCCATCCTAAATTAGTTTTTACTCTTAAAAATTGTTATTTTATTGTAAGGCCCTGTTCACTTCACATTATTAAAATAATATTCAGTAAAAATTAATTTTAGTTCAATAAAAATAATTCAAATCCAGCAAAAATAATTTCATTTAAGTAAAAATAAGTTCAATTCAACAAAAATAATTTCAGTTCAGTAAAAATCAGTAACTTTAAAGAAGAAATATAACAAAGAATCAGTAAAAATAATTTCAGTTCAGCAAAATAATTTCAATTCAGTAAAATTAATTTATGTTCAGCAAAAATAATTTAAGTTCAGTAAAAATAATTCTAGTTTAGCAAAAATAAGATGAAGTGTAAGGGGCTGAATTGTATATTTGAAAAAAAAAGTGGGGAATTTATCTTTTTGAAAAGTAGATATTAGAGCGAAGAATGGATTGTTGGAGAATTTTTATAATTAGATTTTACTATTTTAGAGAGTGTGTGACCCTAATTTTTTTTGGTAGTGATGAAAAGAGACATGCATGTACTCCCTCTATTCCCAAATAGATGGCATAGTCAAAATAGATGTGTCATCAAGTGCTCACGTGACTATATAAAAAGTTTGTATTTAGAAACTATATGTTGTGATGATCGATCTAAACAATACATATACCCACATGTTTATATAATTTATATCTACTCTGTGTGTTGAAATAAATGAAATTTTTCCCTTGTTCACATATGCTAATGTAAAAATTTGACTGAAAATATCTTTAAAAATCAATAAGTAAAAATTATAGCAATGTAATAATAATTAACTATTTATTGAGACGATTCCAAAAAAGTACTCACATGATGACTATATTTACTTTTATATATTTTTTAAATCACAAAGATTAGCCAAAGTAAATTAGATGGATAGTGTAAAAAGTCAAAACGTTTCATTTATTTAAACACAGAGAGAGTACAAAACAGTAACATCGGTCAAAGTAGATTATGTGAATAGTATAAGATAAGTCAAAAGAGGGATTTATTTGGAACGGAGGGAGTATTAAAATACAACTCTTTTCATCCCTTATTGTTTGCCCATATATCATATAAGGAAGACCTAAAATATTTTATGCGGTTCCAAGGCATCAATATTGTTATTATAATTATTTTTATTGTTATTTTTTATTTTATTATTAGGTGACCGAATTTATTAGGATATTTTTGTTAGTTTAATTCAGTTAGTAGAAGATAAGCTTAACTTTAAAGATCATATTTGCAAAATATTATCTTTACAAGTGATTGTTAGTTTCCTAGTTAGATTATAATTTGTTTTACATGATTGTTAGGCTAATTATTTAGCTTATAAATACGTGATGGTGTTTAACGAAAAGTATTATTGATTAATTTGAAATTTATAAAGTTTTACGTAAGCTTGTGCTTGTGTATTCTTGGCCTAGTTTAGGTTTAAAGCTCGTGTTGCTTAGCGTTTCTTGACCGAGACTCAAGACTCCTAACCTTTCAACTGTGATTAAAGGTTATATCCATTAAAATCCGTATCAATATTGCCACATTTTAATTTCATTAGGGAACTACAACTTTTTTCTCACATAAAGCTTTAAAAGACATTAAACCCTGCGAGGAAGTATATAAATGGAGTGTACTATTGTGAGACAATTTCACCGTGTCTCACAACTATATATTATAAAAAATTAAAGGAACAAGGAAGAGAAAGAAAAGAAAAGAGGAGGAAGTATAGCCCGTTACTAGGTATTGGCCCCCCTTGTCCAATACCTGAATAAAAAAATATTAATTGGCAATTAAAAAAAGGCAAAATAAAATAGGGGGTAAAATGAGAGCAGGTTGGGTAAAAAAGAAAAAAAGAGGAGAGAGAAGTTACTTTCCCCTCTTCTTTGTTGTTGTTTCCCGCGAAAAAACGACCGACGCCGGTGAAAGGCGATTTTGGCTTCTAGTTCGACATTAAAGAGGCGAATTTGAACTGAAATTCCACCAAAAATCTGCAAATCCACCTTAATCTAGTAAGATCCTTGTTGTATTTTGGTAGTATGTTAATTTATTGGGAAGTTAGGGTTTTTTAGTTAATTAAGTAATGTGTATGGTGTTTTACAGGAAAAATTGTAAATGGAAGTTGGTGAAGCTTCCTGTGGAAATGGTGACCACCATCAAGTAGAAGTGTTAGACTTGGATCCAGTTGAATCGGATGAGGTGTGTTAAAGTCATTTATTAATGGTTTTTTGTTGGCTTATGTAGTATAATGAATTAGATCATTGAAGATGTGAGTAAGTAAATGCTTCTAAAATTTTAAGAACAATGTTATTGTTAATTGTGACAAGCAATTGTGTTCATTTGTGCTATGCTGTGCTATTGTAGTTAATTTTCTGTTAAAAGCTAATGAATTAATGCATGAAAGTTCACAAAACATACTATGGCAAAATTCTCTTAAAAACAATTGAGTTTCTGTTGTTTACCCATCCTAAGCTAATGAATTAATGCATGCATAATTTGCTTTGCATCAAATATTGATCTACATTTTGTGATGCTTGGTTTATGAAAATCTAAATTTTCTGCAAATATAATCTGAATTTGGTTAGATTTTTGATGTAATTAAATAATTTGTGTATATTATTGTGTACAAGAGGCATAATTTGAATTTTCTGCCAACATAATCTAAATTTCCTTGTTGTATTTTGGTAGTATGTTAATTTTATGTACAAGAGGCATAATTTGATATTTATATTATTGTGTTAAAAATGACATGTTGGGATCATGGGGACCCCTATTAATGATTTGTTGGGTACAAGAGGCATAGGGTCTGGTGTGGATGGTACAAATGAAGCAAGCCCGGGTCGGTGTGTTGTGGAGTGTGATAACGGGGATTATGAAGACTTACTAGACCATCCACAAGTGGGTATGGTGTTTAGTACATGGGAGGATGCCGATAATTTTTTTAGAAAATATGGGAAACAAAGGGGATTTGGTGTTTTCCGGGCAGCTAGGAATTATAAAATTGAGAATGGTAAAACAGACAAGAACAAGAGGAGGAGCTACATTTGGCGGTGTGAATGTGCTGGTAAGCCAGACTTACGAAGAAGGGTAAATGGAAAAAGGGTCTATGGTGGTGGTTTGGCATTGGATCTAAACAGAAGGAAGACTAAGAAGTGTGATTGTCCATTGGAAATGAGGGCTGCTTGCAATGCTGATGGTTCTTGGGAAGTGCGGAAGGCAATCACAGAACATAAATATCACAATCCTACTCCCCGAAAGTCTCAATATATATCTATGTATCGTCAAGATGAACTTACAACTGCGGTTAGGAGGAAGTAGTTCAATGATTGTAGTGCCGGTAGTCAGGTTACTCAACTTCACCGTAGTTTAGCAAAGGAGCGGGGTGGGGTAGAGAATATGGCCCTTACGGAGAGGGACTTGAGGAATGAATTGGCTCGTGAGAAGAAGTTGAAGTTAATTGGTGGTGATGCTAATTCCATGCTTGCCTATTTTGATAAGATGTCTTCCGATAATCAGAATTTTTTCCACAAGTACCGATTAGATGAAGAGGGTCGTTTAAAAGATGTGATGTGGGTGGATGCTCGTAGCAGGGTAGCGTATCAAGAGTTTGGGGACGTTGTGTGCTTTGACTCTACATATGTTACCAATGACTATGCGCTACCTTTTGCCAACTTTGTAGGTGTAAATCATCACGGACAGACTATTCTTTTGGGATGTGCTCTAGTATCCCATGAGAACACCGATACTTTTGAGTGGTTGTTTACCAATTGGCTTGATTGCATGGGGGGGGGGGGGGGGGGAAAGAACCTGGTGGTTTCTTGACAGATCAATGTGCGGCAATGAGGAAACCTTTGAGGAATGTTATGCCCAATTCTAGGCATAGGTGGTGCTTGTGGCATATTATGAATAAGTTCGGTACCAAGCTCGGAAGCTATGCGAACTACCAGGAATTTCATGATGTGTTGCTCAATGTTACATATGATAGTTTGAGCGAAGATGAGTATGAGATGAATTAGACATTAGCAATGGTGTCCTATGGTCTCGGTTCAGATGAGTGGCTTACAGGTGATCTTAATTCCTCTAGTCTTTTGCTATTGATACGGATATGTTAGTAGTAATCAACTAATTTGAATCTAGTAAATGTCAAACCGGAAAATTTAGAATAATTTATGCGTGTATATATAAATTTATGCATGTATATTGTTATGGTGAACTGTGAAATTGGTATAGATCTGCCTAAATGTACTGACTTATTAAATAGAAGGGCTAATAATATCAGCACCTACCCTATGTTTATTACCCGCAATAAGTATTATATGTTATGAAAAGAGGTGGTGAACTTCTTAATAAAAGAGTACTTTACGACCAAAAGGCTTTAAAGATGTTTGCATTAGAAGGGATAGCGGTGATTTACGATGTGTGATATATTTGTCCTTGAATTGGTATATCTTTGACATGATGTAGTTCCCTGCCAAAAAATTAGAAAATGACAGTATTCTGGTGAACTTGTGTGTAACGTGTGTGTTGTTCTGGTTTTTGTTTTTGTTATAGATTTGTATGAAGAGAGGCATATGTGGATCCCTGCCTACATGAAACACCTATTTTGGGCAGGGATGGAAACTACTCAGCGTTCAAAGAGCATCAACAACTTCTTTGACAAGTATGTGAAGAGGGACACGCGTTTATACCAGTTTGCCGAGAGATACTGTGATGCCATGGAAAACAGGTCCAACGCGGAGAAAGAAGCAGATGCAAACAGTGCAATGAGATTGAGGCATGTCATCACTAGTTTTCCATTTGAGAAAGCCTTTCAAAAGGTGTACACCTATGCAAAATTTGTCGAGGTACAGGAGCAATGCACCAGGCTTATGTACTTGAGCATTGTTGGGAAAAGGGAGGTGTCTGACAATGTGGTCGAACATTTGGTTCAAGATAGGGTTTGGTTCTATGATAAAGTACTGAAATAGGAAATTCCTAGGTATAGGAAGAGAGTGTACACTGTAACATTCAACAAAGAAACAAGTGACGCATTTTGTGAATGCAAGCTTTTCGAATGTCATGGAATCATGTGTAGGCATCAGTTTAAGGTGTTTGATGAAAATGGGGTTAAAGAAGTCCCTACAAAATATATATTGAGGCGGTGGCGTAAAGATGTCCACAGGCGTCACACAAGGGTGAAGGTGGCATACCATGATCACACCAAAACTGAGGAAGTTAAGAGGTATGATAGGTTAATGGTTCAGTTTGAAAATGTTTGTGTTAAGGCATCAAGTCGGCCAGAGTATGTTAAAATGGCGTTTGAAGCTATATGCAGAAAACAGCAAACTCAAGGAACCCCAAAATTTTCTCTCTCTAGACCCTCTCTTTCTCTCTCTACGTTTCTTCTGCCATGGCGAGGAAAAAGAAGGGAAATCAGGGCTCGAAGAAGAGGAATCGGTAATGGAAACTTGTAAGGATGTTAGAGATTCGGGTAGCCTAATTGTTGGAGGTCAGAAAACTCGATCGAAGGGGAATGTGGGTCAAATTCCGCCATTGGAGCTTTACTTTGATCAAGAGATGGAGCGTTCTCTGCTTACTCCTGAACAATCTTTGGATGAATTGATTACTAGATCACGTGAGAAATCGAAGTTATCAGAATGGATGACGATAATGCAGCACAAGGAGATTGGGATTCTGGGTTCGAAAAACAGAGCATCGGTGAATTCGATTCAGGTAACCCCGAAACCTCCTGAAATAGATAAGAATGATGATATTGTTCAATTGAATCCTATTGCTTTACAATTGACTATTGATGATATAGCTGAGGAACTGGATTATTGGAAATCAGGGGTAGTTGCTTTCACGATTTCTGCTAATCCGCATGTGAAAACTTTCGAGGGTTTTTGCATAAGAATTTGGGGGAAATTGAACATTGATAAGGTCATTCCATTAAAGAAGGGTGTGTTCCTCATTAGATTCTTGAATGTTGAAACTAGGGATAAAGCTCTTGCTAGTTTGCATGTAATGATGGATAAGAAACCTGTGTGCCTTAAACAATGGGAGAGTGGGATGGAGTTAAGTGTGAATGATGCTAGAATTCCTGTATGGGTCCAATTACCTAGCTTACCTCTGAAGTATTGGGGTAAGAAATGCTTAGAGAAGATAGTTGGGCTAATTGGGACTCCGATTAGACCTGATTCAGCAACTCAGGCTAGAGACAGGGTTGATTATGTTAAGTATCTTGTGGAGATGGATATTAATCAATCCTTTGCTGATATAATTTCATTCTTGGATGAGAAAGGAATGGTTTTTTATCAGAAAGTGAATTGGGAATGGAAACCTCATTGGTGTTCTGAATGTGGTGAGTTGGGGCATGCAGATGGGAAATGCCAGAAACATAATACTAAAATGGTCTGGAGACCAAAAGCTGTGCAGAAAGGAAATTAGGAGGTTGCTAAGGATCCAGTGTAGGATTTATCAACTTCCGATCCTGTTTTCATTCCTGTGGGAAAGGTGTTGTTTCAATGAATACTACAAGAAGGGGGGTTGAATTGTAGTATGACAGTTTAGCCAAAATTTTTGCGGAAATAAAACTAAGTAAGTTAAAGGAACTGAAAGATAGCTAAAGGAACTAAAAGTGCAAGAGAGATTTTTACGTGGAAAACTCCTTAGCCCTAATCAAGGAGGAAAACCACGACCACAAGGAATTTTAGGAAAAGAATCTTCACTAGAATAGGGCAATGACCCATTACAAACTAAAGACTCTAAATTCAAGTTCCTCAACAAACTCAAAGCCCCGAGGAACAAGTCACCCAACTTGTTACTCTTTTCTTCTCTTACTCTCTTCTCACTTCTCTTTCTCTTCTCACTTCTCTTTCTCTTCTCTTTCTCACAAATAGAAGTTCACTCAAACTTCCCAACTCCCCAATACAAGAGTTCACTCAAACCCTTACAAATTCCCTAATACAAGAGTTCACTCAAACCCTTAAACATTTCTCAAATACATATGAAAGATAGATGTACGAAACTAATATGTTGGACACTTTGAGACATGTTAGGAACTTAGAACCTAAAGGAACTGACTCACCAACGTGGAAGACATAATATATTTCTCATGAAAAACTATTCCACTTAAGTGAGACACTATATGGAACGTTATATTTATAGAAGATTAGAAAACCCACTAATTGCCCATGTTCCTTGTGATCAGAAGTGGTCCGAATCTTTAGGCCCACGAATAGAAAACTAATTCTGATTATAAGCAACAATAGTGGGTCAATTAGTTGCTCCACAACTTGCTCAATAACTTCCTTTTTGTTAGGAAAGCAATCAGCACGTTTTGCAAACACCAGCCACAAGTTCCTTGGGGACCAAGTCCTTGTGCTAAAAAATAGGAGTTTAAAACTGACTTCTTTAAGAAGATAAGTTAAAATAACACACTCGTTCTTTAATTTAACTTCACATATAGACCAGATTCATTTTGTTCCTTAACAAACAAAATCTCAATTGAACTCCTACTTTTAAGGTAACCACTTTGAAAATCTTTTTCCCAGGAATTTGACTACAATAAAATCAGATTTTGATGATAAAACTTTGTTTTATAAAATAAAATCATTTTATAAATTAGTTTATTTGAAAACTAAATCCCTGGAAATTAGGAAAATAAGTTATCTTTTTTACTAAGAGAAAATCAGATTTTATTTTCAAAAACTTATCTTTTATAAAATAACATCTAATAATAAATATTAATACCAAGTCAAAACTAACTTCCTATAAAGTAGGAAAACATAATGTATTGACTATTTAACGTGGAAAACTGACTACTAGTGCTGTGCAAACTCGTGTTCCTTCTATAAATTAATTCTAGACTGACTAGTAAGGAACTTACTGTTCATCAACACTAAGTTCCTTACCGACTGAAGTTCCAATGTAGTTCCTTAGGCTTGTTCCAGACAATTTCTCTTGTCCAACATACTTACATGATTCCTAGAAAAATATACTCCTATTTTTTGTCTTCATGTTTCTCTGATGAAGCTTCTACTCCGATGCTTCTGTTCCTGCAAAGGAACTTCTCTTCTCTGATGAAACTTCTACTCTGAAGCTTCTACTCCCGCGAAGGAACTTCTCTTTACTTGTTCCCCCTGAGGAACTGCTGCTCGTTCCTTGCGAAGAACATCTTCTCATTCTTCTTAGGAACTGCATGTAAAGTCTAACAATACATTTGTACTTTTAGACTTCTTCTCTTTATGTTCCCCTTGAGGAACTCAAGCACGATCCATACATTGTATGTAGGCAACCATCTTCAATGATGATCTAACCTGTACTCAATCATCTTCATGCTTCATGACTTGTTCATGAACATCTCAATACACATATTAGTTAGATAATCATCACTTGTTCACAATCATCAAAACCTTACAACAATTTCCCCCTTTTTGATGATGACAAACAAATGATGCTTATCACAAGATAGATAACAGAAGATGTGTATATATTCCCCCTTAATCATGCAAATTAGGAGCTATTGAACAATTCATGCATGTACGATAAGGAACTACTCATAAAAGGATAATAACATGTAATTTTAATTACATTATATGGACGTACATCAATATGACTTATCTCAGGTACAATAACTATTCAATAAGCATTTCTATTAGCACATCACATAATAAGCATCACATAACTCACATAAAGGATACTAACATGTAATTTGAAGTACATTATATGGACGTACATCAATATTACTTATCTCAGGTACAATAACTATTCAATAAGCATTTCTATTAGCACATCACATAATAAGCATCACATAACTCACATATTCTTCCCCCTTTTGTCATTATCGAAAAGGGTATTCTTGCACACAGTTATTAATTCAGTTTAATCATTTATGCATACATACATAAGGGAAAATGTCACACATACCACCATAAAAATGGTTAAACACTTGGTATTCCTAAAAGCTTAAGATACTCAATTTTCAAACTAGGATGCTGCTACACAAGTTTCCAATTCACAATCCGAAGACCCAACTTCAAAACCAATGAAGGAACTTGACATATTAGATACAAAATCAAGAAAAGTTCGATTTTGAAAGTTTGTTAGAGAAAAGGATAATGAATATTTAGCTTAAAAGATATGAAAGAAGATAATGGAAATATTTCGAGTAGAAGGAACTTGAGACAAATGTTGTGCTCTTAGTTTAGAAAGTTTGAGATAAGGTTCTTAACAATCATAAGAGTTTAATTACCTTCATCTCACACTCTTGAATGTTCAACGAAACACAACATACACATATAATTACCTTGGTATATATGTACTTACCAAGTTCCCTTCACTTCAACCACAACCTTCCTTAAGGAACATGTTCATAAGTGAAACTTGAATATTCATGATCAATTTCTTTCAATATCTCCTTCTGTTCCTTAGCTTTCTCAAGCTTCATGAATAAAATCCTTCATCATCTAAAGATTCAATAATCACCTTTTTTTTTTGGGTGACTTTTAAATTTTCTTTTACAGTAATGAAGATAGAACTTACTCATATACTATTGAGTTCCAACACCAAATATATGAACCACTTTAATTGGTTCCTCCCTTATTTCACCTTAGTTCCTTATCCTTCTTTTTCATCTTGGGATTTATTTTATCCTCAAGCTGATTCTTCCTCCAAGACATCAAATGATAAATCTCACACACTTCAATCCTTTCACAACTTTCCCCTCAACATGTATATATTCATCCAACTCTTCATGTATCATTGAACCATAAAAAGGGATGAATTTAACTTAGAGCACATGGGTTGTGTGAAAATAGAGTGGGAGGATATGAATGACCTGAGGAAAACATAATGAATAAGGATCTTCAAAGTTATGTATATGTAAGATATGAAAATGAGAAACACAAACCATAACACAACACAGACACAAAATAATGTTGTAGAATAATATTGTTTTCGAAGATGAATGGTGTGGATAATTTGAAAGTTGGCAAAAAGATAGGTTTGTTCCCTCTAGAATATATAACCATATGAGATAAAATAGTTTGGGAATATACCTGTCCTATTCCATCAAAGTTTCTTCCATTGTTCCTTTGGCAACTTAGGATTTTTGTATTTGACAACATCCATAATTCTCAACGAGACCTTTGACACTTTTAGGCAAGTGAATATGTCTTTTACAACACAATAATTAAGTGTGAAACATTACACTTAAGCGTATGTATGTATTTTACTTCTTTTATAATGTGCACAAGAAACCACACTTAACAATTATAAGAAAGAAATATGTATATATGCTCATGCCATACTTCAACATATTTTATTCCTTAAAACAGTCCATACTTTACTAATTAGGTGAAAGCATAAGAAAGAGATTCCACATATTCAAACATCATATTGCAAGTTCCTTAATAAATACAACACTCAATTCAAACATCAACTATGCAATATCGTGAATATAAGTGGACTTACCTCAAGTTATATTTCACCATGTATCACAATAAATTTGCAATGGACCGAAATTTGATGGCTAAGTTACGAGTTCCTCAAGGATTTGTTTCATCCTCTTGATGCACTTACATCCGATGCGACCAATCACTTTTGACTTGAAACTCATTAAGTGACTTTGATGTCACTGGCCATCTTTCTTTGAAAGTTCCTTATCGTATTTTTTTCGATTAGACCACCATGCCTTTCTCTTATTTTGGATGTTGATCCAAAGAGAAACTGAGTTCCCCATCATGCTTTTACAAGGTTAGAAATCCCTTGTAGAAAGATTCGTTAGTTGCACCAAAGATATAAACAATATAAGTATGTACAACTAATAAATCAATAAGTTTCTCTAGAAAATAAAACAATTAATTTTCACATTAGCTTCAAGAGGGAACTTGAATTATCTCCTATGCCATTGAGTATGAACCTGATTCAACACTTAAAGAGCTTTTTTAGGTTCATTAATATGGCAAAAAGATTTAGGATTTTCAAATCCTAAAGGTTGTTCCTCATAGACATCTTTAATTAGAATATTTAGAAAATTCATATTAGACATCCATTACAAACAACTTGATTCCCATGTAAGCAGCAAAATAAATGATATGCAATCAACTCATTATCTAGCTATAAAAATACGAACCTGACAAAGTTCCTTGATGTAGGAACTATGCTCATATCTATTCATAAACACTTATCAAATGATTTTTGGTGTTCCTGAATAAGTTCATGGTTCTGCACCTTATCTAATTCATTTACACCTCGTTGGAAGGCTTCATGTGTTCCTTGTTGGAGCTTAAGGAACTACAGGACAATGTAGTTGATTGATGCTGCTTTATAGAGTGACATACTTCTGTAGAAATTCCACTAGTTTCAAAGGAACTAATGAGTTCTACACTAAATTCTCTTAAATCTGCATGCTGGGAATAAACATGTTAGATTAATAAAATTTATAGTCACTCAATGCACATTGATACCTTGTTGTAACATGTACATGTTTCACACGTGGATGTGCACCATAAGAACACCACCTTACTACTTCTGTTATCAAAATTCCCTTTTCAAATGAAGGTTGTCTTATTTCTCAAAGGTCTAACCATTTCCTTGTATATGATGCAGCAAGTAACATTGATAACTTTGTAGTGATTTCAACATTGAGAGCTTGTAATCAACACTTTATTCCTGCACAAATCATTACACTTCAAAGGAACTTGGTTCCATGGTTAGATCTTTAATATAACACTTGATTATTACTGCTTAATCACTTAATCCCTCATAGAAAAGATAACAAAAATATAATCTTTGTTACAT